CAAATTGTAGATCACAGTCAAAAGTGAGATAACGTGTGCTCTATTCATCAACTAGAATTGTTTTACAAACAAGATTCAAGATGATGAACAACGTACATCTTGAGGGTAAGAACCGCATACTAGAAAACTAGTAGCATTTTAACAATCAATTCCCTCTTGCGGGTTTATGGGTACTGATTAAAAATAGAGAAAAGGAAGGGATCAGAATGACACCTTGATGAATACCTGAGGTACTTGGAAGAGAAAAAGAACGCTTAAACCATGCATAGAAAGGAAGTTCAATATACACTTAAAATCAACCACGCGAAATGGCATTGACCGTCAGTGGTGCAAAAGTACAATTGATACGGTGATAGTTGGTCGAAAATGAATCTAACCTTCGCAGATTTTCAGTAATTCAAACCTCCCAAGGCAAACGGCATGATTTGAACATCGAAACCACAAGTCTCGCGTGCGCTTTAGTGAGCTTATTTCGTAATTTAGGGGAGATCAAGCCACATCAGAAGTGCGGAGCTGGTTGTTCCAAAACGCTTTAAAACAGTCAGAACATCGATTGCGCAGACGGGCTTGATGTTAATTAACTTAGGCCACCGCTGTAAACTGTCTACTCAGGTCTATGAAGTTTCGAAGTACCTTGAAATCTTTTAGGTAGAGACAATTCGAAAAACAGCTCTTCTTACCGAAAACAGCGTTGACACGTGTCCCAATCAAGGAAGTAAAGAAGTACGCAGTTAATTAGGTATTACGTTTGCTGTAGTAGGCACACATTTAGCTGGTCCGTTGGCTAGTGAGCAAGCTGAGGCGGGAAACACGTGCGGGCGCATGCAGGTAGGCCGACAAACGGCTCAAGCGTCATGTGACATCCGCATGCGGTCAAGCAGGCACTCAAATGTCAACGAATCGATCAACGCGGAAGGTCCAATACTAGCACCTGATTGGGTGGAGCTGATCGATATTGTAATAGTGTCAATCAGCATTACGTGAGTGCGTGCGTGTGTGGAGGCAGTCGGTATCGGCCAGTCAGTCAATCGAACGAAACACGTGGTAGCCAACTTTAGGTCACAACAACATACAGTTGGCCGAGCTTATCGATGCCATGTTCCATAAGACGTTTTACATCTCCATTTTCAGTGATGGGTGCCCATTCTTTCTTTCGAGGGCTACATTTAGGTAGAGCAGGGGAAAGTCAATCAACTTTGACAGCTATAATCTCTACAAAGCCAAAATAAGTCAGAATGCGATTTGGAGCACTCGGAAAAGTGCTTGCAACTAGAAGAAGTGTCAGGGGTTAAAAACACGAAACTTCTGGTAGAACAACAAACCGTTTGCGAGCTGAGAAGTTTTTGATTCTACAATGATGTCTTTTTATTTGTGAAGAATAATTATTGTTATGTTTATTGAAATCAGATACCCAGTAGATCTTGGGCTGAATCAAAAGGAAAAGAGACCAAAAGAGCCGGTAGTAGTCCGAATGTGTGCTGAAAAATATCTACATAACCAACGGAAACAGAGTCTTGGTGGACTCGGAGTCGTGTAGGAGAATTCACTAAACTGATGAAACTTAAAGGTATGAGGGAAGATGTATCCAGACTTTCAAAGTCTCCTGCAACAATAATCAGGAGGTTATCATGGCAAGTACAAAGATTGGAGGAAATCGGGTCGGAAAAATTCCCGAAAAACGGATGCAGTGGTTCCAGAAGTGTGGTGTACATGTTGAGCAAAAGGATGAAGATAAGGTAATTGAGGAAACAAGGTTTACAGTGGATAGTAATACAGTTTATTTTGTTTGCACTGTATTAAAATGAAAATTGCGAATTTTTGCATTGGTTTAAGTTGAAGGAAGGAGCCACCCCACCGCTTTTACTGCGCCAGTTCATGGGCAATCGTCCGTGAACAGATAATGACTATCAATATGGGCAACATGATTCGCTATGTCCGAATGTAACTCACTTTCCTGGAGCAAAGGAACAACGAGGTATCTGCGCACAGACAGATGAGGTAGATTGGTAATATCCTCAAGCCTGTCTAACAAAGGTTGGGAAACTGACATTTTTGCAAAGAGTGCATCTTCTCAAGATGATCGGTGTTTGATTGGCTGACTTTGCAAGACCTACATAGATCTTCAGAAGTGATTCGAAAAACATGAGCAATAGGTTGTAAAGAATTCCAATCAGCACGATGATATAACAGAGTTTGACTTTTAGTATTCCTTCTTCGATTCGAAAATCCAGAATGAGAGAAGAAACACGCGTTGTTGCTGTAATGTATGAAGCACGATAGAAGTTCCACCACCACGCCAGTTAAGAAGGACGTTCCCAAGCATTCCAATATGAATTGGGTAGTCTACAAGTTACCCAACCGGGGTTTTGCTAACTGTCAGAGCGGAACTTCCGAACGGTCAGCAAACGCAGTGGAGTTCACCAAGCAAGCAACACATGCGCGCGCGCACGACACTATATCCTGGACGAATCTAATCGGATGACAGCTGAGCCGATCGGTCCCGAAGGCCACAATCTTATCGGTCCAGCTATTTGTGCGCCTCTAATTGGTGAATTGGTCCACATGTATCCTTATCTCTTGGACTGTTCATAAACTGTCCTTGCCTTAACTCGCGTATCAGGAGTAAGGAAGGGATGCTCGTGTGTTCGATAGGATGGAGATGTGAATGTCTATTCAAATAAAAGACATCAGCATACAGAAAATCGTAATCAATTACCTAATGTAATCAATGAAAGCCTTGGATAATACATTTAGAAATCGTGTGTCAAGATCGAATTCCAACCGGGACGTTAATGTACAGTATTTTTAGGGGCCCATAACTCAACACAAGAAATCAGAACACACAAGAGCGTTTGCTGATCGGAACTGGGTTAACTAATCAACGTTTGATCGTGAGAATACATCAATCGGTTAAACGATCGTCTAAAACTGGATCATGCTGGCTCACGGACTAACAGCCTCGAAGGTATTGATCAGTGTCTGTCATGAGCAATTGTACCATGTGATTGGACGATCAATCGGAACTGATGGACGAATGCGTAAGTAGCACCGTGTTTCAACTTAAGTTAGAAAAACTCATACCCAGCTACACTTCATTCCTAATCAAGAAATTCAATCAGAAATGCATTTATCTAATCCGATGGTATCAGCAGTATGCCCTCAAAGAGGATGCAATAATCTTAGTCCCTACTCGACCTATGAATACGTATGGTCGCAGTTGATAGGCGAGACAGATTCGGCGCACGATTCCCACAACTGAGGATTTCACTTCAGTTCGCGCAAACAACAATGAAATATAAGCTTGCGTTTATTTTTCATTTTATATATAATTTTTCTCTGTTACACAATGTGACGAATGAAATAAGAGGGGTGATAAGCTCCAGGTGTTTGTGTGTATGAAAGTGTGTGTGTGTGTGTGTGTGTGATGTGGTACACGCATTTTGGTGAGTGGACAAGAGAAGCCGAACAAGCAGAAGAAATAGATCCAAACTTCGGATAGCACAACCGTTCCCACAATGCATGTCTCCCACAAATTTCAAAAGGTATTTGGTATATATATGTATTCATATATGCATATACATAGATATATATATATATATGCACATGTAATTCCAGATTGATTGTCGCCAGCCGACGAAGAGAGAGAGAGAGAGAAATAGAAGTCGATCGAGCAGTCGTAAGAAACGAAATACGAATGGGAAAGAACA